CTGCACAGTGTTTCTAACGTTCCTCTAACAGTCCTGTTCTTTGATTGCTTTTTCCAGTATCCGAAACATATTGTTGCTTTTCTGAACTTGTTTACTGATATACTACTTATATCTGATTATAAGTAGCACTCATTACGTATAAACAAATTAATATGGAATTCTTCCTACAAACACGAACAGTTAATTGAATAAATCTCTTTATGATTGAATTGATTATCATTACATAAATATACGTGATTGATATAGCAGTATAATGAATATCACAATAAAATGTATCTCATTATTCCCTATACATTTGCAGTAGATTTAGACTGGAAAAAATTTCACTAAACGTCTAGCAAAAGTTTATGGAGGCATTCATTCATTGTCTGTTGGTATGAACCATGTGTAGACATTTTAGTCATGTGATAGTCTGTAAAGGATATTTACAGACATGACATGTAATCAATCACCACAAACAGGCAGATACATATTTTGAGCATACTATACCGCATAGTTTTTCAAAATCCCATCACCTATATGTATCTTCAATTTTCTCATTAGCTTTTCGTTTTTACTAATTGGTTTCCTCAAGTTAAATCATTGATTTACACTAGAGGGGTGGCGGGGTAATGAACAGCTGTTTCAACCTTGTGTTTGGGACGCTCCAGTCGTATGCACGCATAAGCCCACGAGGGATTGAGCCAACGACTATCGGGCTACTAGGTGAACTTGCTGACCACTGAGCCACTGAAATGTAGTTCAATGACTGATGAATTCTAAATTCTGCTCTCAGCAGTTACACCAACTGACAAAGACTCCTGGACCAAAGTTTACCTGCCTATATACAATAGTATATGTAAAATACATTACACGGTTTTTAATATTTTGAATTATATCAATATACTGCTTATTGGTTCAGATATCAATAAGATTTCGATCAGCTGTTCACAGGTTTTAATCCGATTGCTGAAGTCTACAGATAGCTAATTAGTACCATTAGTCCTCAGAGACTCAATTTATAAGGGACAGCTGTTCTTCCCCAGAGACGCTACATTTTTTTCCTTCACGTATTCCAGTGGAACATAGGGCTTCAAGCTAGTGGTTTGAAGTTTCTTTAGCAATGTTTATTTTACAGGATGGGGTTGCTAGCCTCATGCCAAACCTTTCCTCTTTACCAGCTATATTTCTGGTTTAGCGAGGTAAAGGAGTGCGTCGGCCAGGGATTGAACCCCGGACCATGTGTATGGTCGGCGAGCGTCCTAACCGCTATACCACCGAAGTTTCTGTAGCAGTGTTTATTTTACAGGATGAGGTTGCTAGTCTCAGGCCCAACCTTTTCTCTTACCAGTCCCATTACTGGCTTAGCGAGGTAAAGGAGTGCGTCGGTGGGTCGAACCCCGGACCATGTGCATGGTCGGGGAGCGTCCCAGTCGCTATGCCACCGACTCTCGCCGTCCATCCAGAGACGCTACATAGTGTCTCCAAATTATCTCTAATAGTTGCAGTAAATGTGCATTCAGCATTTTTTTCCTTTCGTTTCTGAGGGTTGGTCTGAGTCAGCGTCTGCTCCTCTTTTCGATTTTGGGTCCAGCAGACTGTGTCACCACAAGCTGTCACATTGGGCCTCCTCAACATGCATATACCAGTTTAGTTGCTCTTGTGGAGCTGAGTACGTTGGTCGTACCATGCGCCGACTTGAAAAACGCACTCGTGAACACTATCCAGCCTGGCTAGTAAAAGGAGACCAAAAACGTGTATGCAGTTCAGTGACAGAACATCTGGTCAATTCAGAACATTCAGCGCCTTTCGAAAAATCCTTCAAAGTAATATACAAGATTCAATCAAACCTATCAAAGGGAGTGAAATTAAGACATCTGGTCATAGCTGAGGCACTAGCTATCCGAAAGCTCAAACCCAAGCTTTGTATCCAAAAGAAATACGTCCAACCCCTGTCCCTGCCACGGCCATCATAAACAGGTAATTCTTTTAGTAATGACCATCCCATCGCCTTTCTTATCTAAACTTCCTGTTTATTCATGTTATTTTTAAGCTTTTCTTAATCCCTGTTTACACTACCATATCATCACATCGGAACTTCATGTTTATTTTGTCATTTTACTATTTCTACATATTTAATTCCTGATTGTATAAACAATTATTCGTCACATTAGTTTTTTTATCCAAACATCCTGTCTATTTTGTTGTTTCTACATTTCTAACCCCCAATCGCACAATATGTCAATCTTCTTAGTTATGATGATGCTACTTTGTTTGAGTTTTATCCATCCCCCTGTTTATTATGGCATTTTAATTCTTCACTGTCATTTTTATTAATTTGACTTTTAACCAGAAATTATTCTGGAACTTTCCCATCCATTTGATATAAATACACGAATGTATAGCCTATTTGATGACTTCGTCGATGATATTCATCCACATGATGTGTGTTGTTTTTGACAGTCTGTTATATTTTGCTATGTGTATATGGATCGATATTCCATTATAACTGACAATATGCTTTTGTCTGTCCACTAACTAAATAAACATGTATGACCCTATTATCACATGACATTACAACCAATCATGGTAAGATGACTGTCTATTGCTTCATGTGTATTAGTCATTTTCATATATACTCTTGCTTTGCATACCTGTTCACACAGTTCGTACACTACGTACCATTTCAATCACACACTTGTGTGACATTTATTTTCCTTGTCTGGAAAATACAAGTATCATCGTAAACCTGGTGGTCTTCTGATTTCCCTCTTTCCACGTCACGACTATTAACTACTCGACGAGTCCATAACATAATTGGTGACGGGGAAAACTCTATTAACCACTCAGCAGCAGTACATAAGATAATTGATGACAGGAAAATTATGGATTATTCTAAATTGGAATTACTATTTGAACAACAAATGAAATTGATGGAAATGCTCATCAACTAACAGACTGGTTCAACTTCACCTTCAAGCAATCCCAATCATACCATGCTACCATCTGTCGACGGCACTGTGAATAGTATTTCACGATTCAATTATGATCCAGATGCTAATGTCACTTTTGACACATGGTATCAACGTTATGAGGATTTATTCACAGTTGATCTCGCCTCACAAGACGATGCTTGGAAGGCGCGAGTGTTATTACGTAAATTGGGTCCCGCAGAATATGAAAGGTACTGCAACCTAATTTTACCCCAAAAACCACGTGACAAGTGTTTCGATGATACAATAAAGCTGCTGCGTGAACATTTTGGAGACCACTCCTCATTATTCAGCATACGTTATCGTTGACTCAAGCTGACAATGAATGAAAATGATGGTTTTCTTACTCATGTTGGCACAGTCAACCGAGAATGTGAGAGATTTCGACTCAGGTCCTTAACAGATGATCAGTTCAAAGCCTTGATTCTCATATGCAGTCTTCAATCTCCTCGTTTCACAGATATCCGAACTCGACTGCTCAATCAGCTAGAACAAAATCCTAAGTTAACATTACATGACATAGCTGATGAATATCAACGGCTGATTAATTTGCAGAAAGACACACACCTGGTCGAATCAACACCTTCGAGAAGCTCTGATATTCATGCATTACGAAAGAGCGAAAATCTCTTTCATCATCCAGTCCTGACCAACCTTCTCCTAATGTTCCGCGTAAATCTACACATACTCGTCCAACTTCACAAAATACTGCAAAGAAGACCCCACCATCACCATGCTGGCACGTGGCACTTTGTAAAGTCTTGTCCATACAAAAATCATCGTTGCAGCAAGTGCAAATCATCGGTCATAAAAATGGTTTTGCCAGCCACGCAAACCCAGATATCAAATCCACGAAAGCTCACAACTGTTGTCCTAAATCTCAAAAAAGTCAATGAGTCTAGTCGCAACCTGTCAAGTCACAACACCAGGTATGTGGAAATATCTTGATCTTCAGATGAATGGTCATGATGCACGTCTGCAGCTAGATACCGCCTCTGATATTACTGTTATATCAGAGAAACTTTGGAATGATATTGGCAGACCACCTATCACAAATACTTCTCAGACTGCTGTCAGCGCCTGTGGTGGGCGCCTCAAACTAATTGGTGAACTCAAATGTTCTGTTTCATTCCGTAACATTAAATTCACAAGAATTTGCTACGTCACCAAGAGTGATTTAAATCTTTTGGGACTTGATTGGTTCGATCGTTTGCATCTGGTTGATGTCCCACTAAATTCTCTAAGCAATGCAGCCAAGATTCATAAAATGTCAGACGAAGTGGAAGCCGGAAACCCAACAGGCAGACGAAGCGACAGACGTCAACAACAAGCTCAACGGTTCCAGATAAACGCCCAAGAAAACACGCTACTAATCATCAATCTTCTCAAAAGGGGAGGTGATATGCATCCACATGATGTGTGTTGTTTTTGACAGTCTGTTATATTTCGCTATGTGTATATGGATCGATATTCCATTATAACTGACAATATGCTTTTGTCTGTCCACTAACTAAATAAACATGTATGACCTTGTTGTCACATGACATTACAACCAATCATGTTAAGACTGGCTATTTATTGGTTAATGTGTATTAGCCATTTTCATATTTATTTTGCATTGTACATTTTATTATTGTTCTCACGTTTCTTACACTTGTACCACTTCACTCACACACTTGTGTGACATTTATTTTCCTTGTCTGGAAAATACAAGTATCATTGTAAACCTGGTGGTCTTCTGATTTCCCTCTTTCCGCGTCACGACTATTAACTACTCGACGAGTACATAACAGTCGAAAAGAAACATTTTCTTCACTGCAACCGTCTTTTTAATAATTCTTTTATTTATAGATAAAATACACTAACATCTGGGTTCGACTCGTCGTCATCGTCATCATCAATCACAAGATTTGCTCATCATTCAACTTTTACTCAAACTTATGAGACACAAAGCTGAGATTGTAGAACTGATCAGTGTTGAAGTAAGAATATTTAAAAAAAAAATGAACAGCATTCTATTGTATAGTACTATTTATTACTTACGTTGTGTACAATATTTGATATATTACTAGATAATTGTAAATTATTCGGTAGTATAGACGGGGTTAATTTTGTCCAGGGATTCAATACAGTGTTCTTACTGCTCTGGCTACTAGTATTACTACACTCTGTACAATTATTGATGAATGATGCAATTGAAAAAGTCAATGAAGAGGATGATAGGCACTGAAATTGTCCAAAATAACGTACACCTAAATGTTTTTCCTTGACAACAATAAATGGTAATTTTGACATCATTTCTGTATAATTAATAAAATATCCATTATATACATCAATAGCTGTTAAATGTCGACCGCTAGATGAACTTGGCCATTTAACTAAAAAACTTTTAACAGCTATCCATGATACTTTGGAATACTCGTCGTCTTCTTCTTCTTGTATTTGTTGTTTGCCAATATTATTCGGTTTACAAGCTATAAAAGCATATGGTATAAGCGGATGCTTTGAATCAATCTGTGAACGTAAGTAGACAACACTTCCAGGTGGTAAGGAAGATGAATAAGGCTGGTTGAGAAGAATTGAAGCTTCATTAAGATAATTCATTGTCTATAAAAAGATTTTTTTTTTAAAAAAGATAACACTTAAAACAAGTAAATGATTATTATTGAAACATTGAACATCCGCAAATATTTACGTTCGTATGAGAGGGAAATTAAAAGATGTAGTGTAGAATTGCTAGGAATGTATGAGAGCAGATGGAATGGAAATTGACTCTCCAAATCGTTAGTGGAGAATCAATAATCTATTTTATTTATCCAGACGCCAACCAGAAGCACGCTGAATAAGAAGAAGAAGTGACTGTCATGATGTCACCAACAGCATCTGAAGCTCTTATGCAGTGGGGAACCGGTCTCTTTCCGGATAATGACAGCAGGATTCCTACGAACAACGCAGACCAAGAGAAGAAGGAAAACTTCTGCAGAAAACTGCAAACAGTGATGGACAAAACTCCAACTAACGACATCAAAGAGCTAATGGGTGATATGAATGCCAAACTGGGAGCAAACAAAGCAGAAAAAAAACTCATGATGGGTTGACAGGTTTTCGGGGGAAATGAATGAGAACAGTGAACTCTTAGCAAACTTCTGCGCCTTCAGTGATTGAAGACAGCGTGACGAAGTACAAGGATATGTACAAAGCGACATGTGAGAGAGAAAAATTTTTATTTTTATTTACAGCTTGATTCCACACTGTATTTTTGGTACAAGTATGGAATTTTCAGCATGGATATCGGTAGCCCAAATTTTGCAGGTCGACCATAGATATCAGGTGTGCGCCGGCAGGGGATCGAACCTCAGACCATGTGCATTGTCGGCGAGAGTCCTAACCACTGTGCCACCGACGCAGTATTTCATTTCTAGACATCCTTATGACCAAAAAAGAGGATGGCGCGATAAGAAGTGTATATAGAAAACCTACATCAACGGGTTAGTATACTCATTTTTTAAAGCTTCGTGCCCTTAAAATACAAACACAATCTGATAAAGTGCTTGGTTCACAGAGCAAGAGCAATCTGCTCTTGATGAGGGACTTAATAATATAAAACGGTTGCTGAGTTAAAACGGTCATCCAGAAAAGTTTAATGGTAAGAATATGAATCTAAAATCAAAGCAGCCCAAGGTGACAACAGCTCCTAAAAAGGTCTTATTCTTACAAATTCAATTCCTCAGGGACAACATCAGCGAAATACTAACACAACGCCTTAGAAATGCGGTAAAAAGAGTATTCCCTGCTACTGAATTACACTGTGTCTTTAAGACCACTCCTCTATTGCATTCGGGAGGAAGATATAAACTGCCTAATTTCGCCCCTTCTACTAACTTAATCACTCCTGTGGAGCCAATTACATAGGCCGTACAATTAGCGTGTTCCTCGTCGGATTTCCGAACATCACTCTGCATAGTGGTTAAGTAAAGGACAATTAAAATATATTCGCAACGCTATTCTACTTCATTTTGTGGATACAGAACACAGGGTTGATGTAACCAGGCTTTCAGAGTCATTTACCGCATACCAACAAATCTCCATTTCTCCTTAAGAGTTCGATTACTAAATATTGCTGAGGCTGTTGGGATCCATATTAAGAAGCCTAATCTGTGCATCCGAAAGAAGTTAGTTCAGACATTATCCTTACCCTGGCCATCTTGGTTTGAATGATCCTGAATTTTTGTGGAATTTTCCTAATTTTAGTTGATATTCTATTTGCTACTATATCTTTCTTCTTTTATTATTATTTAAGCATCTTTAATGAACTTAAATTCCATTGATCTTACTTTACAAATCGATACTATTTAAAAAACACCAATATTGTTATTGACTACTATTCTAGAATATTCGCCGACCATATACATGGTCGGGATTCGAACCCACGCCGACGCACACCGGATATCTATAGTCGGCCTGCGAAATTTAGGCTACCGATATCCACGCTGAAAATTCCATACTTGTACCAAAAATACGTTGTGGAATCAAGCTGTCATCAAAAATAAATAAAATAAATATAAACATGTATATAATTGCACAGCCAGAAGGGGAAATTATCGAAAAGGATATTCTTTGCTCAATTATTTTGTGCTTTATATACTACAGAAACGTTCATCTCATATATCCCATCATGCTTCTACGTTTCATCGGCTTGCTATATAACCAGAGCTTGGGTCCGTACAGATGAAGAGTTCCAAACTGGGACGAAAAATTCTATTCAGTACTTCTAGGCTTTCCGATGTTTCTCTAATTGATGTCAACTCGTGATTAATAATCAATTATATAATCGCCACTCAATTAAGAATCCTACATATGGTGAGTTTATTGCTCAATCTTCGAATAAAAAGACCGTAATTCATATTAAGGTATGTGTAAAACTTGGACACTGTGGTAGTTTACAATTCCGCACTAATTTTGTTTATTGAATACAGATATACATATATGTCTCACAATCAAGAATATGTCAACTTTTCCTCCAATTTCCTGTGAATTTAAAATTACACATCTCTTAAAATGGTGTTGAAAAAGGGAAATTATTATTATTACTATTTCCTTTAATTCCTAGAGGAACATAGGGCTTCAGCCACGCGTCTCCCTTGAGTTCGGTTCTCTGCTAGAGTTTTCACCTGGCTGCAAGTCTGCCCACATGCTTTCATCTCGTCCTCACATGACCTCCTCCAAGCCACTCTTGGACGACCAACTCGCCGCTTCCCTTTCGGGTTCCACTCGAAGGGCTTGTCTAGTGATGTCACTTGATGGTTTCTTCAGAGTATGGCCAATCCACCTCCATTTCTTCCTGCCTATTTGTTTCACAATCAGTTCCTGGTTGGTTCGCTCATTGCCAGAGATCCCTGTTGCTGATCTTTTCTAGCCATCTGATCTTGAGTATTGAGCGAAGACAGCTAGCTGTTGATGAAGGTCTGTAGTTTGTTTGAGATGCTCTTTATGACGCTCCAAGTCTCTGATCCGTATAGTGACTAGCACTGACTTCACATTGGAGTTGAAAATCTGGATCTTATTTTTCATGCTGAGTGCTGTTGACCTCCACATAGACTTGAGAGTAATGAAAGCTTGTAGTACTATCCCGATCGCCGCTTTGATATCCTCATCAGTTCCACCTGTAGTTGAACAGGAATCTTCATCATCTCTGTTTTCTCTATGTTCACCCGAAGTCCTATCTTTGATGCTTCTTCTGCCAGCTTGTTGCTTTTCACTTGCATATCTTCCAGTTTGTGGGAAATCAAACATATATCATCGACGAAGTCCAGATCCTCCAAGTTTTTTGTGTGGTTCATTTTATGCCTGTTCCCTCGTTGGTTGCCGTTGTCTGTCGCATTATCCAATCTGCTGCAATCAGGAAGATCATTGGTGATAGTAGACAGCCTTGCCTCACTCCCGTCCTCACTTCGAAGGCTTCCGTAAGTTTCTCGTTGTGGATTACTTGGTATGCAGCATTGTCGTATAACTGTTGGATGAGATGTATAATTGTCGGTGGCGCCCCTTGATAGTGGCGAAGTAGTTGCCAAATCACCTTTCGATTGACGCTGTCGAAGGCCTTTTCAAAGTCGATGAAGTTGAGTGAGGTGGAGAGGTGACTGCCATTCCAAGCTTTGTTCAATGATGATCCGTAGTGTGGCGATTTGATCAAAGGAAAAAAAAAACTTTCTTTTAATCAAAAACGAATCTTCTAGAAAAACAAAAGAGAAGTAAACAAGATTATAATAGTCAACAATTTTACCAACTAACCTTAGGATCATAGTTTGCATAGCATACATTAATGTTTTCCCTATCATCATCGTCGTCATAATTACAATCATTATTATCATTATTATTTTTGGACAAGAAATCCCCGTCTGGCACCAACAAAGGACATTCAGTTAGACGAAAGTGGGCAATCAACGAATCATCTACATGCTTTTTTTCATCATCTACTTTTATATTAGATAAATCCAATTCAGTATATAAATTTATAGAACTTCCTTGTAATGCATACCAACAACATATAATATCTTTAGCTGATTGTTTCCACCAATCAATTGCTCCAACTTGATTTTTTGGTTTACGTGTATACGTTATAGGTATATGAAACTTTTCTGAAATAACTGATTGTTCAATACCAATTAAATATGGTAAATTTGGATGTAAAATAACCTTTAAAAGAAAATTAAGCGTGTAAATTTTTATCAAAAGTGTATAGTAATATGCACAAATGCATTGGTGTGGTTTACAGGTAGTAGAAGGTTTGTCAACTCTAATGGTGTATATAGTCCAGATTCGATTTCTGGCTGGCAGACACACTCTCTTAAACCTTACTTAGCCAATAGCAGGCTCAGTCAAGGCAGACAATTGGACGTGGTAAAAGAAACACTATAGCACTGTTAAAATTTCTAAGCTCAACCTTGAAGCCCAACACATTCCACTCAGGAGGTCAAAAATATACATATATATATAATCAATCTTAAGTTGTTCTATGCATAAATATGAGAATCGAATGAATGCATAGATTAAAATGCAGTCTTCTAAATGAGTCTATACGGAATGCGGTTGGTTATTTGGAAAGCAATACGCTGACAGGGAATATTTCGAGTGGACTATAGGACTTCAGACTTTTAGCTTTGAGATTTCAGAGATACTTTTATTATTTGTGATGAGAATTGTGATCCAGAAAACCCACTTCAAATCTTCGATAACGCCCACATATTACTTACTTTTACTTTACTTCGGCTATCTCCTACGGGAGGATGAACCGGCTTCATGAACATCTAGAATCATCGCTGCCCAGGCGTGGCGATCTGATGCAAGGTTTTGCGACAGGTTATCCAATTCTTGTTCCACAGACGGAGTCCGTAGACGGTTTGTAGCCCCAGGCACTCCATATCAGCCTTGACTGTACCAAGCCATGTTTTCAGCTTTCCCCCCTTGCGACATCGCCAAGATGGAAATGGCAAGGGATTTAGAACTGATTTGACCAGATTGTCATCTGGTCGCCGCAGAACATGGCCAAACCACCGAAGGCGGTGTTGTTGGACCAGTACTGAAATTTGGTTATTGCTGTAGAGAGTTCATGAAATTTCATGCGAATTAAGTACGAGTGATGTCCCCAGAATCGCTCGGCCTTTTGTTTGAGAGTGCAGCTCTAGCCTTTACACAATCAAGTGTCACCTACAAGGCAGTAGGAGTGGAGTAGGGAGTCCACTATCCATTGGCAGCCGGTGACCGGAGTCCGGTTCATACGCTTTTTGAATGGGGCCAGACATCCAGGGCATCCAATAAGCCCTTTGTCCATACGTCTACCGATGAGCTTCATACGCCAGTCGTTGGAGGTTTGGAATCAGGGTTTAGCCATCTGCCCTAGACCGTCATCCAATGGACAGTCAACCCGGTGAAGAGCGCCGGGCATCCGCTTTTGCCCTCTCACTTCGGTGAAAAACACCTCCGCCACGTGAAGGCAGTGAGTAGGACTTCCTCCGGAAAGGCTATGTAAGACGCCCGGTCATATGGGAGCATTTCAAGAGGTGTGCGAAGGGGTGGCCAACCCGCAGCGCAAGGCACCCACCGCCGACCATCCTGAGGCTTTGGAGGCACATATATACATCGATTTCACCTTAGAAGTTGAGTCTAACTCAATGTTTCATTTCCTCGACATTCAAACACGAAGGAATCCTGACATTTCGCTAAGAAGATCCATCTACTAAAAGCCTACACGGAAGGAACAATTTATTAACTTTCAAAGTTGTGTGCCGCTAAACAGAAAGAGAAACCTAGTATACTCTCTTTCCTCGAGGATCCAGAAGATTTACACTGAAGAGTCATTCAACGAAGAATTGAAAAATCTCTGAAGGACATTGATTGAAAATGGATTTCCTCGCAGACTCATAGGCAAGAATCTAAAACCAAGGAAAACGCCTGAAAAGGTTCAAATCGCCCCCCCCCCCCAAAAAAGGTGCTGATACTGAACCTCGAATTTAAAAGTGATACCGGAACAGAATTTGTGCAATTTTTTATTGTTATGGAGTGGGGCTGCTAGTCTCACACACCCAGCCTTTCCTCTTTATTAAACTTACTATTAGCTAAGTGAGGTTTTCTAGTATGTTGCATGGAAACTGAATCAGGCTCACTTATGTGGTTGACAAATATTCTATCGCTAAACTATCGACTGAAGAGTCTAGAGAAGCTTATTTATTGGTCAATCAGAATCAATGTGTCATTCATGTTGAAGACATGAAAAGGTTGACTGCTTTCGATCATAGATGTCTGCGATCTCTGTCTCACGTTAGGTGGTTTAACAAGGTAAGTAATGTTGACGTTAGGCGTAGAGTGTTGGGCAAAGAGGGAAAATCAATCGACGAGGCTATAAAGTTACATACATTGAGATGGCTAGGTCAGGTGCTGCGCATGCCTAACCATCGCCTCCCCCGACGGGCATTACTAGCTGATATAGGTGCAGGTTGGAAAAGAGTAAGTGGTGGCCAAACAAAAACATGGCCTCATTAATCCATGAAATCCTTGACAGTTAAACTGAGTCAGGTAGGGAGGGAGATGCAGACTTCCGGGTTGGGGCCTTCGGGACTCTAGGAATCAATGGCTGGAGACAATAGGTGACATGGCTCAAAATCGTTGTCAATGGCTCAGATGTATTCAGTCTCTGTAATCTTTCATATTTCTTTCTACGATTACCCATTCTGTTTCACTTCTATACCTGCCAAACTCTATTGATTCTCTTCACTCATCTTCTTGTCTACCTCTGTGTGCTATTTGGAACGCGGCAACTCGAACTGGTGCACTTCGGTGCCAAGTTCTATGTTGAATCCAGACAGAGACAGACAGATAGAATGTTTCATTCAAGTGTTGGTTTTGTAGGGATTTGATTGGTTACATGATCTCATCATGAGCTAACATTAGTTAGAGAACCATTGGAAAACCAACCGGGAGTACTGGACAGCTATTTCGTCCTAATTTGGGACTCTTCATCGGTACGCACCCACCGGGACCCGATCCAATGGCCCATGAATTCTAACTTCTGCCAATTCACGACATATACGAGCTCGCCTTGGAACCAGAAGGTCCTGGGTTCGAATCCCGGTGGGCGCGTAGCGATGAAGAGTCCCAAACTATGATGAAACAGCTGTCCAGTACTCCCAGGTTTCCTAATGGTTCTCTAACTAATGTCAGCTCATGATGGAATCCTGTAATCAATGTGCCATTGTTATATATTGAAAAATTATCATAAGTGAAAGCAATTTTTTTCAATCAATTACAATAGACTAGAATTTTACATAATAACAAATGGTTGAAAGAATTAAAGGTAAAGACAAAATTAAAGCATAAATTAACGCACGAACATACACGTATATATGCTACCTTATAATGTAAAATAGCAATAATAATAATAATGACTAATCACAATGTGAATTAGTGATGTTATAGACATGATTAACTGACAGACAAATGAAACATTTATTGACATCCTACATCATTGCTTTTATATAAGTATTTTTGAGATTTCTTAAGTGGTTTTGTAGACCACTCTTCAATCCTCTGACTTATAATTGCAATCTAAAGGCAATTATTCACAAAATCAGAAGTTGAATTACAATAGGGCATACTTCCTCTTAATATGTCGATAGTTCAATGGTAATCCACTCACTAAAGGCATATGTGGTTCGACTTCGATTCCTGGCCGACACCCAGCCACCTCCCCCCCCCGAAAAAACAACTCGCTTAATTCACTAGTTGATAGTAAGCTTGCAAAATATGGAGGGTTGAGCATGAGGCTAGCAACTACACCGCATGTTACTCAAACTTTTAATCTAATGTGTTTCACTAGGTATGTAAAGAATGAAAACAATTCTTTGTTTTGTGTGAACAAACTTCACATATACTATTAGTTTGACACTTCTCCACTTTGTGTAAATACTCTTCCAACAATGATAATGATGAGAAAGACTATTGTAATGGAGTATATGATTAAACAACGGTAATTTACCAATCAATATGCTATATACGTCGTATCTATAGCTATCCTCTATATTAAATTATGTATTACTCAAAGCAGATAAATATATAGTGTACAATTGAGTAGATTTGTAGCTCATTAACTTAAATTCCTGACTCTGAACTAATGAATCATGTGTTCACGCTGCATTCAGAGACTTCATCCAGTCTGAATAGTAAGGTAGTCATTAACACCTTACACATATTGATTACGACTTACAGTCAAGAATTGAAATAAAATATCTATCGAGTAGGTGAATTGCACTATTTGATTTCTTTTTATTCCTTTACGGTCCCAGTGGGACATACGGAGGCTTCAAGCTATAGGCTTGAAGTTTCTGTAGCAGTGGTAATTATTTTTACACGATGGGATTGCTAGCCTCATGTCCAACCTTCCCTCTTTACCAGTCTTATTACTGGCTTACCGAGGTAAAAGGAGTGCGCCTGTGGCCAAGGATCGAACTGCGGACTACCTGTGTGTTCGGCGAACATTCTACTGCTGTGCCACTGATGCACATTATTTGATTAGTTTAACGAAAAACTCTGTCTGTCTGTCTGGATTCAACATAGAACTTGGCACCGAAGTGCAGCAGTTCGAGTTGCCACGTTCCAAATAGCACACAGAGGTAGACAAGAAGATGAGTGAAGAGAATTAATAGAGTTTGACAGATATAAGAGTGAAACAGAATGGGTAATGGTAGAAAGGAATATGAAAGATTACAGAGATTGAATACATCTGCGCCATTGACAACGATTTTGAGCCATGTCACCTATTGTCTCCAGCCATTGATTCCTAGAGTCCCGAGGGCCCCAACCCGGGAGTCTGCATCTCCCTACCTGACTCAGTTTAACTGTCAAGGATTTCATGGATTGATGCCATGTTTTTGTTTGGCCACCACTGGCTCTTTTCCAACCTGAACCTATATCAGCTAACAATGCCCGTCGGGGGAGGCGGTGGTTAGGCATGCGCACCACGTGACCTAGCCATCTTAGTCTATGTAACTTTATAACCTCGTCGATTGATTTTCCCTCTTTGCCCAACACTCTACGCCTAACGTCAACATTACTTATCTTGTGAAACCACCTAACGTGAGACAGAGATCGCAGACATCTATGATCGAAAGCAGTCAACCTTTTCATGTCTTCAACGCGTATTGGCCATGTTTCAGAGCCATAGAGAAGGACGGAGCGAACTGATGAGCAGTACACACGTCCCTTGGTTGATAACCGGATGTCACGCCTACGCCAGAGATGGTGTAAGTCAGCGAAAGCAGCTCGAGCTTTTCGGATCCGTGCTGAGATTTCATCGCCAATCAGTCCGTTGGTGCTAATACAACTTCCCAAGTAGGTGAAGTGGTCAACATGTTCTATCACTTCACTCCCTATCACTAAGTTAGGGTTGACGTGTCCAGTCCTGTAGCAGCATCTTACATTTTGCAGGGGCGAATCGCATGCCAAACATACGAAGATTGCTGCTCAAGGTGTTCAGAAGACTCTGCATTTTGTCAGCATCCTCCCCTAACAGGACTATGTCATCTGCATATTCTAAGTCCATAAGATTATTCCCTGGTAACAAGTCGATTCCTAAGTCACTACGTTCAGTTAAGGATACTTCCATTAGCATATCTATGATGAAGTTAAACAGAAATGGGGAAAGTGGACATCCCTGTCGGACACCACTGGTTGTTACCAATTCAGATGACAATTCCCCATAAGCCCTTACACGACTACGTGAGTTTGAATAGAGTGCCTTGATTAGTGCAATGTACTTTCTTGGCACTCCCTTCACAGTCAGACATTGCCATAGTACCTTTCGATCCACGGAGTCGAAGGCCGCCTTCAAGTCAAGAAATATGACAATTGTTGGACGCCGAAAAGTGTGTCTATGTTCTAGAATCTGTCGAAGAGTGAAGATATGATCTATGCACCCTCTACCTGGTCTAAAGCCTGCTTGATTTTCCCTTGTCTGTTCCTCCCGAGTTCTGCTTAGTCTATGCATGATTACTGAGCCTAGGATTTTAGAGACTATGTTCGTTAGGCTGATCCCCCTATGATTATCACACGAGGACTTGTTTCCCTTCTTGAATATCGGTATAATGAGTGACTTACCCCAGTCTGATGGACTGTCTCTGATTCCCAGACTTTGCCTAGTACCTCAGTTAATCTACAAACTAGTATGTCACCCCCATATTTAAACACCTCCGGAATAATTCCGTCGGGTCCTGCCGCTTTGCCTCGTTTCAAATTACTGATAGCTTTTGTAACCTCACCTACAGACGGCGGACCAGTGTCTATATCCCATTCGGGTACGTGGTGGATGGCGGGGAGGTTCAGTGTGGCTGTAGGCAAGTTAAATTGTTCCTCAAAGTGTTCTTTCCAGCGTTCAAGGCGTCTATCCTGAGAGCTAATTAAGGAGCCATTTTTCTCAGAAATAGTCTCACTTATGAATTGCCTTCTCCCGCCCGATTCTGTGATGAGTCTAAAGAGTTGCCTAGTGTTGCCTATCGCCAATGCTTTTTCCATCTCTTTCGCCTTTGTCACCCACCACTGTTCACGGTCCTTGCGGAGACTTTTAGTAAGTTTCCTTTTGTGCAGCTTTCGCTCCTCATTGAATTCGGAGCTCGCCGGAATAAGTCTTCTAGCATCTATCAGTTCGGATGAGGCAGTCGAAATCCAGTGGTTTTTACTCACCTTTGGATTTGTCTTATTCACAGCTTTTACAGCTGTATCTATAGCTGACTGAATATTCTTCCAGGCTTCTCCAGGGTGAGCACAGCTGTCGATTCAGATATGCGTTTAGCTAGTTCTTCCTCAAATAGGGATTTAGTTTCCTGATCGAGCTGGGGGCGTGATGGTTTTACCGCCAGCTGTTTCCTACGTCCGTTCAGTCGTAAGCACACACGAGCCCGGACCAGTGCGTGATCGGTATCTACACACGTGTTCCAGAAGGAGCGACAATCTCCTACCGACCCACGCCAACGATAGCTTATTGCTATGTGGTCTATTTGTGTCCAGCGTTGGTTTGATGATGGGGGTCGCCAGGTTAAACAGTGTCTCTCCTTGTGTTTAAAGTTAGTGCTTACAAGAAACAAATGATTATCTGAACAGAACTGTAGGAGACGGTCACCGTTGTCGGTTCGCTGGCACGGAACTCCATAGGTGCCACCGACATCCTTCTCAGATTGACACAATTTCCCTACTTGAGCGTTGAAGTCACCAGCTAGAACGACTATATCTGAGCGTTTAGCCTTTCTCACCAAACTAGACAGCTTTTGGTAGAACTCATCCTTCGTTTCATCCGAACTGCAGTCAGTGGGGGCGTAGGCGGAGATTACGAAAAGGCATCGGCGAGTAGTGCAGTCCTTTCTCCTTCTTACTGATCCGTTCAGACGGACAGCACACATTCGGCTATCTACCGGGATCCAGTCAAGCAATGTCTTTTCTGCCCTAGTACTCAGGCTATCCCTACGCCAGCTAATCCCCGTGAACTAGCTGTGGCATCTCCTGACACCCTCAAGGTGAATTTTGAAGATTCATCCTGTTGGCCAGGTGGGGTTAGGTGAATAACCACACTTGGGTCTTGTATGCGTGTTTCTGAAACACAACATACATCAATGGCTCGAGATGCCAGGGTCTTAGCTAGTGATGCTTGTTGTCCTATTTGGCAAAGTGTCCTAACATTAAATGCTCCTATATGAAATTGGTGGCGTGGCTTTAGGAGACTATCCGTGGTGGTTTTTTGGCTTTCGTCGTTTTTAGTGGACACAGAGTGAAGAGGGAGTGAGGAGCCATCAAGTAGAGGAGTTGCATCACTGGGGGAAGGTAAGGTAATAGAGATGAAGATGAAGACAAAGATAAGTGAGGATTAGAGAGGTTTTGTGTGCGTTTTGGATTGTGAGGGCGATTGTTACTTCCCGGCTGCCCACACCGTGGAAGTTGGTTGCGTGACCGCAGAGCCCAGGGGACAACTGCTTGAGGCCGGTCACACGCGGCCTGTTTTTGTTCGTTCTTTGTTGTTTTGTGTGCCTCAGTAGCATACTTATCACTCCCGCCCTGTGACACGGCAGCAGGAAGCGCGGTCGTTGTTAATCCGGGCCACGGCCGATCCGGCATGAAATTTTGTGAATTTGTTTGGATCATGGTATTGGATGAGGTAGCTGCTTTTTGTTTAACCGCTATCCAAACAACCTGCCTGGCATGGTAGAACCTCAAGAGACATAAGTCTCAGCCAGTATAGCTTGATTAGGTCATTGCGGTGTTCAAGCCCGACCACCACGTCAAGGTAGCAGCTTTCGGTCGGGTTAACGAAAAACACCTAGTTCTCATCTATGCGACCCGGGTTCAACTCCCTGTGGTGAGGGAGCGCTTTGTAAATCCGTAGTTCAATGGTAGAATGAATGCTTGCGAAATACTGTCATGGCTGACACTTGCAAAACTCGCCTGTAGTAAGCCCAGAAAAGAGGCAAGGTTCAGCTTGAGACTAAGAATCCTACTTCGGAAATACAACACCACTGCTTATTGTAACTTAGAAAGCTTAAAGCCCTACACATGCCAATAAGAATACAAGAAATGAATTAAAACGGTGAGAAATGATAAAGACATATAGCAAACATTGTCTTGCATAGGTGAAACAATAACAGTAAAAGGAAATTTACCTCAAACATAGCTTTAATACTATGAGGAATTAAGTATACAACCAATTGTTCAGGTGTTAAAAATATACTTTTATTATGCGGTAAACGAATGATTGTTGATATACAACTGAACCGGAATCAAATGTTGTATGCGTTGGATCTAAGCGAAATAAAGTAATTCCAGTAACTTTATCTCTAGATAATAAAGTGTATAATAATGGAGTAGGACCTTTCCAACGTGGTAATAATGAAGGATGTATATTGTAACAACCATAATTGAATAAAGATAAAAGTGATGCAGGTAGAAATCGACCAAATGAAACAATTATACCCAATAATTTATTTGATTGATCTGAAGACTGGTTTTTTATTGCATTTATACGTTGATTTATACAATCGACGATAATTGAAGTGTTTGAAATTGTACGCGGCCAAATTACATGATCTATTTGATGAAGAAGAGAAAATAGAAATCTTAAAGGAACGCTCTCTCTCTTTCTCTCTCTACCCAATAACGTTCATAGACTAAATAATAAGCAGATGTAATCTCTTTTACGTCTATTTTAAAATTACTAAAACGGATAATAGTCTTCTATGGCTCATTCTGTCTGTCTGTTTTCGACATAGAACTTTGCACAGATGTGCGGAAGTTCAAGTCGCCACACTCCGTGTAGCACACAAAACAAGAGAAGAAAGTACAACAAAAGCATATTAGAGACAGTAAACAGAGGTGTGAGACAAAGGAGCAGTAATAACGAAGAACAAAACAGTTTCATTGGAGATCATAAGTCACAAGGAGTGGATGCATCTGCGCCACTGAGAACGATTTTGAGCCATGTCACCAATTGTTTCCAACCATAGATTTTTACCGTCCCGAGAACCCCAGCCTGGAAGTTTACACCTCCCTACGTAACTTAGACTAACTGTTGTGAATTTCATTGACTGGTGCCAAGTTTTTGTTTGACCGCCGCTAGCTTTTTTCCAGCCTGACCCTATATCCGCTAGCATTGCTCGTCGAGGGAGGCGATGACTTGGCATACGTAACACATTCCTAACCATCTCAGTCTTTGTAACTCCACGACTTCGTCGATTGATTTCCCCTGTTTGCCTAGAACTCGACGCCTAACTTCAATGTTGCTCACCTTATTATGCCACTTTACACGGGAAATAGAGCGCAGGCACCTATGATCAAAGACAGCTAGTCTTTTCATGTCTTCCACTCTTAGTGGCCAGGTCTCACAACCATAAAGGAGGACGGAGCGTCCATGGCTCATTGGTTTAAGCTGTTGCGTCTTTTGGCCAGTAAGTTACAGACTTGAGTCTCTGACCACCTAATTCAACTTGTGCAATTGGGTAGCACTGTTAGCCATCACATAATAAGTATTGCTCATAGCCTTGTATATAGGCTTGAACAGACAATGTTCTGTGAAGAAATCTAATGGACATGATAACTAATTTGTATTTTTAACTGAAATTCTATTATCTTTCATTCATAGTTCTTTTTTTAAACATAACAGGTTTCAATAAAATACCTAATGGATTGTTTATTACAAAGAAATAATGCATAATAGGCAATCAAACAGTAGTGTAATATGCTGTGCGTCGGTGGCACAGTGGTTAGGACTCTCGCCGACCATGCACATGGTCTGAGATTCGAGCCCACGCCGACGCACACCTGATATCTATGGTCGGCCTGCGAAATTTGGGCTACCGATATCCATGCTGAAAATTCCATACTTGCACCAAAAATGCAGTGTAGAATGAAGCTGTAATCAAAAATTGAAAAAATTAAATTAGTGATATATCTAATGACACACAAACTCGAAGATCTAAAAGCGAAAGCCAACAAGTTAGTAGAAGACAGGATTTCAAGTGAACATAGAGAGGAGAGAGGTGATAAGGATACCTGACCACCACCACCACCAACCACAACAACAAGCATCAGTCATCACCAACAGGAGAAATTTGAAGGAAGTCACTCGTTTCACTTATGCTAGCGAAGTCGTCTCAACCACAAGAGAAACATATGAAGATGTCAAAGCCAGGGAGAGGAAGGCAAGGCGGGCTTTCATTAACCGGAAATCAATGTAGAAATCTACTGCATTCAGCATAAGGAACAAAATCCGGGTCTTTAGCACTAACATCAAGTAAGTGCTTCTATATAGTTCACAGACTCAAAGCGCACACCTGTCTTCGCTCCATACTGAACATCAGAAGGCCAGAAAGGATAAGAAACTAGGAATCCTAGCAACGAACCAACTAGAAAGCTGTTATCCAACAAATATGCAGAAAATAATGAAGATGGATCGGACACACTCTGAGGCTACTGTTGAGTGACATCGTACGCCACACCTCCCGAGTGGAATGCGAACAGGGAACGACAAGTCGGACGGTGACGTGGTGAAGATCGTGTGTAGAAGAAGAAGCTTGTGAGCGATCATGGAGCTAACCAGAAAAAGATTGGAGAGAGTAGTGTGAAATGGAGATGCACTGCTGAAGCCTTATGCTCCACTTGGGACCTCAGGGGATATTACTAATAACAACAATTTTATCAGTGAGATAATAATTATTATTTATTATTGCTCCCTTGGGTTCCTAGTGGAACATAGGGCTTCAACTGCACGTCTCCACTTGCTTCTGTCTTCTGCTGTACTTTTCACCTGCATCCATGTTAGTCCATACTCTTTCAACTTCTCTTCACACAATCTCCTTCATGTCACCCTTGGACGTCCCACACGCCGCTTCCCTTTCGGGATCCACTCAAGCAATGGCCTGACGAGCGATGTCACCCAGCGGTCTCCTCAGCAAGTGTTCGGTCCATCTCCACTTTCTCCTGCATATTTGCTGGGCGATTGGTTCTTGCTTTGTTTGTTCCCAGACATAGTTTCTTGTTGGTAATTCTTTCCGGCCCGACCATCTGATCTTCAGTATAGAGCCAGCGAAGACAGTTGTTGATAAATGTCTACAACAGGCTGTTGGAAATATCCTTTGTGACCCACCCGCCAAGTTTCTGATCCAATCCGTATAGAAGAACTGACTGACTTGACGTTTGTATTGAAAATCCTACCGAATTTTGTTTCTGATGCTCACTGAGTGACGAAGATTTCAAGATTGATTTCAGGTTGATGAATGTGTTTCTCGCCTTCCCGATTCTCGCTCGATTTGACATCCTCGTCCATTCTGACTGCCTGTAGTTGAGACAATGCCCCCTAGATAAGTGAATGAAGTAACCTCTTTCAAATCCCTACCGTTGATGGTGATTGACGCTGGATGTTGCTGTTGGTTGGTTATTTTCATAAACTCCGTCTTGTCTATGTTCACCTGGAGTCCTGTCTTCGCCAGTTACTTCTTCGACCAGTTTGTCGGTTTTCGCTTGTAAGTCTTCGATTTTGTGACAGTGACATCAAACATAAATCATCCACGCACGAAATCCAGGTCTTCTAGGTTCTTCACGTCGGTCCAGGATATTCCTGTCCCGTTTCTCGTTTCCCACTGTCTGATGCATAATCCAATCAGTCAACCACAATTAGGAATATCATTGGTGATAATAAGCCAGCACCCTTGTCTGACTCCTGTGTTTACTCCAAAGGCCTCGCTGAGTTTTCCGTTGTGGATCACTTGACATATTCCGTTGTCGTACAGCTGTTGAATAAGGTTGATGAATATTTGGGGTACGCCGTAGTACTCGAGTAGTTTCCAAATTACTTCACGATCAACGCTGTCGAAGGCCTTCTCAAAGTCTATAAAGTTGAGGTAGAGGTTTGATTACCATTCCATGCTTTGTTCGATGATGATGCGTAGAGTTGCAATTTGGTCAGATTACGATCAGTGAGATAAAGCATATCATATTTTGGAAAAAATGATTACTGTTCAAGATGTATAAACTGTTTTGTTATTCAGATTATATATATATATATATATATATATATATATATATATATATATATATATATGCTAATCATCTGGATAGAAATATAGTTCATTGACTTAAGCATTGATTCCTAATTAATAAGTGCTCAGTTCGAATTTCAACCCGCCTACCACAGCCCGGGCAACTGGGTAGTGCGATTAAACCTCATATAATAGGTGTGGCTCATAACCCGCTTTTGGGAGAATTTAATTAACTAACTTTTAGTCTAAAAACCAAAATCTCGTAACTTGCTATAACTCATTGCAGGTCTCATGATGTCTGGACGTTATATTCTTAAAGAGCAAATATTTTATTTCGAATACAGAACATATGTTAGCTAAAAATATTAAATTTTTTGGAGATAGAGAAGAACCGTCTGTAGTCAATAGTAAGAGCAAGCGGTATGAGAATCCAGAACCAACATCATTTCCCAACTCACATCCGATTAGATCACTACTAGGATTCATTAGCAAGTATATTTAACTATTTAGGCTGAAATCAATTGCTGGAGACTATTAAATTCATTTATACAATACCACAGATTTATTTAATTGCCAATCATAGTCCAGGTCCCGAGCATCCTAATTTAATTATTTTCTCCATGATGCACTTCCTTGTAACGTTACATGTTGATTCGTTAGTCAGTCATACTAGCCGTTAGAAGTGAGGATATATTCTCTTTTATGACGATTTAAATTCAAACAAAAAGTGAACAACTCCCCAGAGGTGGGGATAAGAATTGATACAGTACTATAGTTAACAGCTACCTGATATTTATTGTGTTTATCTTCTTAGAGAGGTGAACAAGAAAGAACCTATAATAATAAGAAGAACAGGGAAGTGTACGATGATGATGTGTTCCTTATAGGAAGCTAGAAGAATACTGAGATGAACGTTATAGGACAATGGAATAGAATTTCAGTCTTCTAATTTTTCACTTACGGTTGAAATAACTAAAATCTTACTGACTAACCTATAACCACTGTAAGTTTAAAGAGAAAACTATGTATTTCATTTCTTCTGGCTTAATTTCATCAAACATAGATGAGCAAGTTGAGCTGTCCTTATTTTCATTCTATGTATTGCAATCACTGACTACTCTCGTATTCAAGAATAGAAAAGCCTTCTGAGAGAACAGCTGTGAAACTGCAAGCGCTAGAGTGATTCATTATCATCTTATCATTATTTAAGAGAAGCAAGCTCCTGCATCTATTTACATTAGTGGTTAAAAGCAGTGCTGAGAAAATAACAAAGATTTGTAGATTAATATAAGAAGGGGAATTGTTTAATGATTCTACAAGATTGGAAATTTCATTAGGATAAAATTGGTGATCCAGCAAAGCTGGATGACAAGATGTCAGAGATCGATTATTAAAACCTGAAAAAAACACCGGTTATTCACAATTCCGCATACATAATGATCCTCCACACTGCATATGGCACTAAACATAATTAGGATTGAGAATGATACCTAGATTATTTGATTGAAATGTTTCGTGCTAGGTTAGAAATGCACGTCTTACTAACATCCATACCTGAAGGTTTTGAAGATAAGTATGGATGTTTTATGTATTACATTACATTGTCACAAAGACTTTTATTCTAATTGCATTTTTGTTTAATAAGTCTTATTATATATGTCTTTTAATTACTACCTTGACTACTGTGGCGGTAAATAATTCCCCAAAATCATCGGCAACAGCACTCATCACTTGTTTAGCTGAAGGCTTCCGGTCAAGCATCCAAGCCATTTGGTACTCCGTCGTGTCACGTTCGTTTGTTTGTGCACGATCCCTAGCTAGCTAAGCAATCATCTCTCACTCCGAATCGATCCCGAAATATATCTCGTAATTTGGACGATCGAATATTGTGTTTTGCTTTGCCTTTGTCTACGCGGAACGAATACTATAGAAGTTGTGGGTATTAGATCTTGAGTTGGTATACTTCTTACTATCTGTGAACATCAATACCGTCAACATCTAAACTACCAATAAATTCTCAGAATCTCCACTTCTTATAACTAGTTAACTTACATAATATTATTATCACATTTAAAAGAGAATATCTAACAAATTCTCTTCAAAACGAGATCCAGTTATTAAAACTATATCACTGTAGGCTATATCAAATAAATTCATTTAATATTGAAATTATATTCTACCACAGTGTTCAAATTCTACTCTTACACATATGAATTTAATCTTAAGAGGAAACACAAATTTATTTCTACTCTAAAAAAGGACTCTGTTTTGAGTTAATAAAAAAAACCCAACTGTTCTTACCTATTTTACTTTGGATACAATGATCTCCGACAGGTGTTTTATCTGATGTTGTAACAACACACACAATTTTAATGTCTTTATACTGACGCTGACGTTCTTCTAAGGCATGTAAATGTGGTAATGAATAATGATCACTTCCAAAGAAAATCACACTAACAACTGAACGTAAAAAGATAGGGAATTGTAATCTGTGAGTAGTTTTTTTCCACAAACAATTCAAGTTCATTTTATCCTTTAGAAATTACATTAGTTATCTATGAGAGAGAAAGAAAAATACAACTGTTAAGCTTTTTATTATTTTACCGCGTACTCATGTAGTATTGTTCAGCAGTTTTAGTAGATAAAGCTTGCTGGTTAATTCATGAGACTTTATATGACTACTACGTACTATCACCAATTATCATCATAGCATAATGTAAAACAGGTTAAAAGTGATTTCAGCAATCTGTCCTTAAGTTTTAATCTATAGATTAAGATATGAATTAAAATGGCTCTGTACATAAACTTCTTTGGTTGTACACGGCTGATAAAAAGCTGACGAAATAAATGATGTTATTATACTAATCTGCACTAACCACTGTTTTCGCTTTATTCTAATTCATAGGCGAAAATAAGTGTACGGTGTTTCTAGAATGTCGTAAGTGGTAGAGTAAGTGAACGCGCCTTTCTTTTGTGCTAGAACAGTAGTGACAACTGTTGATAAAGTTTTCTGGAAAGTCCCCCTATACCAGACGATGTCTGAAAGAAACCCTGTTAGGTGAATCAGTGGTAGTCCTAATAAAGCACAGTGACTGTTGGCCTGCAGTACATATGACTGTTCATGCAGCAACCATGTGATCGATAAGACCACTAATATGAACGAAATTTGACCTGTTTTGCAATTAGGTTTTTTCAGCAGTATGCAAAGTATAACGGTAACTGATATTTTTGGTGTTATTCTCAATGACTACCACACACAAAACTGAGTGCATTCACTTTAAAGACTGGTATAATGGCTTCCCATCACGATGGTAAACGACTCTTGTTTTTTGGGGCGTAGATGCCTGACCTCATATAATGAAATAAACTTGTTGGGTCACTCACTTGCTGGTAAAACAAGTCCTTAGTTGTATCCACGGTGGAAATCACTGGTGTGTAAGCAAAGAAAAGGGAGTGAAGACGCTTCACTTGCCTATTACTGGTACATCCTATGTAGTCTTCTAATGTAACAATATATGAAGGATTATAAATGCAAATTCAATCTAGCGCATCTGAGGCTAGAGAGATTTTTGCCACACTGGTTCACGTTTTGTCGAACATTGAGGTACAATGTAGTTGACAACGTTGATTTCGAGGCAACAGTAGAGGGACCTATTAGCTGTAGTTGAACTATAGTTAAAATTCCCAAGCTTACAACTACGTTGAAATGAAGCTCGCAAATTCTGAGCTAGCGCTTACTTTCTATTTTGAGTAAATTCTGAAATAGTTTGATTTCTTGCATAAAATAAAACTCGATGCCTTTTCTCAGTACTAATGGCTCTAGTCCAGCAGTGATTTTTCGGAATTACCAGAAGTAGTGCAGAGCCTCCTGGATTCGTTTCTTAGCGTCATTTGAGCTCCCTCAGACCCGATTCGGCACAGCTCGCATTACTAAAGCGTCCAATGTTGTTTTTAGGCACTAACAGTATAACCTCACTACATATATGCAGTGAACGTAGTATAATATGTTCACTGTTTGAAAGGGAGTGCTTTTTTCACGTATTTCACGTTTTTGACAAATCGCTGTTTTGTTGTGTTATTCACTTCAAGAACATTTAAAAAAAACTTTAACTTGACTTTTGTCTGTTAAGTTTTGATTTTAACCACTTATATAGTCTATATTGGGTAAATTGTCTTGGCTGTTTCCAGTAGAAGTTCATTATGTCAAAAGTACCACATAAATGTAATAGGGCGGAGTGTTACTTTTTGGTAGATGATGGAATACAGTGTAATAACTGTGAAAACTGGTATCATAAGATGTGTACTGGATTACGTCCAGCTGCATACAAACGTTGTACTGCTCCAACATCCCACTGGATGTGCAGAATGTGTTGCTCCCCAAAGATGACCTTAATAAGGGAGGCTCACGAACTGCTGTCTAAAGCCATGGAACTTCCTGATGATAGCGTGGCTAGTAAGAGTGACACGGACTGCCCGTCTGAAGATGAAGCAGTAAGTGCCATCATGAATGTTATCACACCGGCGGTTACTATCCCAGTTACCCCGGAAGTAAAACCTACTAGGCGTTCGAAGCGTCTTAGTAAGCGAAAAGGTAACAAAACGGAAGCTGTAAACAGCATCTCAGAACCAGAGAACACCGTAAGCGAAGTTCACCATGAAGGTGGGTCAGACACTGATCTTGATTGTACCATCAAAAACTGCAGCAGCCCTGAGAAGCAACTGCAGGCAGATGATAAATGGGTAACAAAAATAAGCAGTCGGAAGAAATATAGTAATATTGATGGTAGGCAAACGTCTGTCACCTGTAGCCAGGCTGCATCAATAGTGGTGAGAAAGGACGTAGCCACTGCTAAATACGACAAGCTCTCCTTAGACTCTAACATAATTGTTGGAAATTTGGAAGAGTCCAAAGAATCTGATCCCGTGAAAAGGCACGATCACGACCTTAAATTAGTGAGTAGTATTATAAGGAAGATGCTCCCAGCGAATTTCCCTGGAGTATCGATTAAAAAGCTGATTAGAATAGGCAAAAGAGATGATGAATGTTCTAGTCAGCGTAGGTTGCTTAAAGTAGTCTTAGGTTCTCCTGATGAACGGAATCATCTACTGGCTAATGTACACAACCTTGCCGGGTCAGGAATTTCAGCCAGACCTGATTTATCTCTTGAAGACAGACTTAAACGAAAAGAAGTTTTGTCCCAGCTAGAAACAAGACGTAAAAATGGTGAGACTAACCTTAAACTGGTGGGTTTTCAAATAGTCAGGTCTTGGAAACGTATGCTTCCAAGACCTGTGTGGATAAGCCAGACCGCATAGGAAGCCTGAAGGTAGTGTACACTAATATACGTAGTATCGGGAACAAATTTCACGAGCTAGGTGTATTAGTAGAAGACCTTAGCCCAGGTATTGTGGCCATTACTGAAACATGGCTGGTTTCGGGATTAGATGACACACCTGAGCTATGCGGATTTAGTTGCTTGCGCAGCGACAGAGTTAAGGGTCGTAGAGGTGGCGGGGTTGCTCTGTACATCAACAACTCCCTACATGTTCGTTCCGTGAAATCTGAAGCTCATGACAGTGGGACAGGTGAGGTAATTAGCTGTGAAGTAAGCTTTGCAACCGGCACTCTACTCATTGGAGTTCTGTATAGAAGTCCCTATTGTCAGTGTGATGACTTCATTTTAGATCACCTCAAACAATGGAGTAAACACAGTAGCTGTCTTATTCTAGGTGATTTTAATGCACCTCATATAGACTGGGTAGCTGTCACATCTCCAGGATCCGCTGATAAGTTTGACAGCCGGTTACTCTTGACAACCATGGAAAATGCCCTGACACAACATGTCTTAGGTAGTACAAGATTCGGTTCTACCCAAGGATCTTCCTTGCTGGACTTAGTGCTTACTCATGACAACGACGACGTGGATGGTCTAGTTATTCATCCACCTCTAGCAAACAGTGATCATGGGGTGTTAGATTTTAACTTAAGGGCTGGCAATTTAGTCAGTTTTCAACCCAAATCCCGGCCTAGTGTTTGGCATGCTGACATAGTGGCTATAAAGGAGCGTGCTTCAACTGCCGACTGGTCAGTCAACATTGTCTCATCCATTGAAGATGAATGGGATAGATTTAAGAATACACTTGAGAGGGTTACCACTGATCTCATCCCCTGGAGGGTTCCTAAAAGGCCAACAAATCGGCCACCATGGATAAATAGACAAGCTATAACACTCCTGAGACGGAGAAAAAGGTTCTGGAATCTCTTTGTTTCTACTGGGCTACAGCAGTTCCGGCTGAAATACTGTGAAACCAGAAACCAGTGTAAAACTTTGATCCACCAGTCAAGGATAGCTTACGAAACCCAGTTAGTTAAAAGTTCACCAGGCTGCCCAAAAAGACTCTTCTCATATATCAAGAGAAGAACACGTAAGAGTGATGCTATCCCACCTCTTATGCTTGAAGATGACCAGACAAACATGGCTGAGGATAACTTGACTAAGGCTGAGGCTTTGTCCAAGCACTTTAGTCAAGTATTCTCTGATAATATTGATACCAGCTTTGTAAATTTTCCAGAAGGTAACTTGAAAATGGCACCCTTATACATTGGAAAGGATACTGTCCTAAAGTGGCTTCTAAGGCTCAATCCTGGTAAGTCCAGTGGCCCTGATGAACTCCACCCACGTATATTAACAGCATTGGCTGAAAGCATAGCCGAGCCATTGTCGGTAATCTTCAATATGTCTCTGGACCAGTCTAAATGTCCAAGAGACTGGAAAGATGCCATCATTAGTCCGGTCTTCAAAACCGGATCTAGAAACTTAGTTCAGAACTATCGTCCTGTTAGTTTGACCAGTATTGTTGTTAAACTACTAGAAAGAATAATTCGTGATGCTATCATTCAGTTCATTGAAGGGAACAAACTTTTCGCTGTGGAACAGCACGGTTTTAGAGCAGGTCATTCTTGCTTGACCAACCTTCTTTTGGCCAGAGAAAGTTGGGCAAGCTCAGCTGATGCTAATATACCGGTGGATGCCATATTCATAGACCTTAGCAAGGCGTTTGACAGGGTTTCTCATTCAGGTCTTCTAGTAAAGTTAGGTAGTCTGGGAATCAATAAAGTGGTTACCGACTGGATTCAAGACTTTCTAAAGGACAGAAGACAAAGAGTACGAGTTAACGGGGTTTTATCAACATGGGAATCGGTTAAGAGTGGCGTTCCTCAGGGTACAATTCTAGGCCCACTTCTTTTCCTGATTTATGTTAATGAGATTCCATCGGTAGTTAAGTCATCCTGCTTACTGTTTGCTGATGACATCAAGATATGGAGGGCTTTGCACGATGACAGTGATCAACTTGCTTTGCAGGAAGATTTAAACTTGTTAAGTGATTGGTGTAAGCACTGGGCCTTGGAGATTAACTTAAGCAAGAGTGTAGTTATGCATGTATCCCATAGTCACGTGCACAATTACTCAATGAATGGCATTACTCTCCCAGTGGTCACTGAGTACAAGGACTTGGGAGTGGTTG